TCAGATGTGTCGGCCTGATTCATCAGTGTCGGCCAGTGCGGTTCTGTTTGCCGAGCGGTCAGATCAGCTCTAGGCCTGCAACTAAACCTCCTCTCTGACCAGGCGAGGTGAGGCATGCAGCAGAACATAATGTTCACTGCGTGTCTCTGAGCAGACTGACCGTGTTGGCTGCGCAGGAATGCGATTCTGTTTGTCTGATAACATGAGTGTCTAGCAACACCGCCAGCTCTGGACTGCTGGACAGTGAACCACAGCAGCCTCTGGTGTTGTCAGCTGCTCGTAAACACTGACGTTTGTCCAGCATGGTTGTAAATTCTTCAGCTAATCTGGGTCAGGAGCCCCAGCAGATCTCAGGAAGAAGCTGCTTCAATGCAGCATCTACTGCATCGTTAATTGACTGTACTGTTAAAGGGGAATCCCGCTGATTTTTCAAATTTTCTAAGTGGTGAAGTTCATTCAGAGTGGTTTGGTGTGAAACGCTCCGTTGTAGAGAAACTTACCGAGTCAGAACTGTTCACAGTGGTGATGATAGGAACCAGACGTCCACCTCTAAAAGCTCCCTCACAGAAAGTTCCTACATGAAATGGTTATGAATGTTTTGAGAGGATTTTGGCTTATTTTTTAACACATGCAGTCTTGATCATCTGAAAAGTGCTGTTTTAATTACAAATTACGAAATTAATAACGTTTTGGATAAAACTATCGTACACGGAAAACCAAACTCATAGTGCCAAGTGAAAAACTACTGACAAGTGTCTCTAAAGTAACTTGGTTACTGGGTAACTTTGTAAACTATGTCAGAAAATCATACAGTAGCCTATCATGGTGAATGAAGCTGGTAAACTATGGAACTATTCAATAAAGAAAATGGTCAGCATGCACGGGAATCAATTAGATTTTTCTCATAATAGATTCATATTTCCTGCTTTCCTCCTTGCAAGATTTGTCGCTCATCGCTTTTTAGAAATAGAGTCGCTCAGTAAAAAGGGCCTCAAAAGTCACTAAGTCTAGCGGCTCAGGCAGGGATGAGGCAGAGACCCATTTACCACAGAAGATTCAGTGATTGTATGAGCCCATAATTCGTATTCATATTAAATGTTCTGCCAGTAAAAAGAGACCAGTGGCTACAGAAAAAAGCCCCGTGTCTGTAGCCCCAATATCCAGACCCTAAACTCACCCCTGGGCAGCTCCAGTTCTGGACAGACAGAGACGCTGCTATCAGCGTATGCCATATGTCATATATGGAGGCAGAAAAAGTGACTCAGTGTGAAAATGATGCTCTGTTTGTGAATCTCATGGTGCTACATAGACTGTCAGTCCCGTAACTCCACCCCTGCTTTATCCCCTTGGTCATCTCGAGTCCTGAAAAGATGTTTGTGGTGATGTTGTTGACACTTGCGAGCTTCTGGTGGGGTTTTACACAGCGGTGTTCTGTAAAACTAGGCAAGAGAGTGCTAGAAGTGGTCTGTAGAGAGCATCAGCAGCGCCCTCTGCTGGCAAAAACAAGCACAATCTGAGACGTCTGCCCATCTGTTCTGCTGCAGGACTTTCCGCTGTTTTTAACTCTCAGTTAAGAACGGGGACAGTTCCAGCCGGGGACAGGCCACCAAACATGGGGACAGTCCCCAGAAAATGGGGACCTCTCATCACCCTAACCATAAATAGCATTGCTATGAAGATGTAAAGCTCAGTTAGCTCACTAAGCTGGCTTTTTAGCTGATGACAGCATGATAAGTTATGCAGATTACAGAGCTTACATCTGCAATTAAAAACATTCTGTGCAAAGATAAATATTATTGCTATCACTGAGGTTTGCGAGCTTCACTGTTAGCTCATAGTTTAGGCTTCATAACATGCAATGACAAAAAGTTTCACTGGTTTGATTAATGTTAACAGGGTGGAGGGATATGTAATATGCAGGGCATTGTGAGGCAAAATAGTCCCCAGAGAAAACTTATTTTTTCATATTTTATCATTATCAACATTACATACACAAAATTGCTGCACATTTTAAAATCAGATGTAGTGCATTTTAATATATGTAAGATCCACACAAAGGAAAAATGATATTATTTCCAATAATGCACACTCAAAACTCAAATACGGCAGGTAATAGTATATTTCATTAATACAAATCAAGCATCAATATAGGCTATGAGATATAATCATGATGTTTGTATGTTCAGTGTGATTTGGTTATCAGTTCTGATGTCCTCTGGCCCATCAGTTTCTGACCACAGGACCACTGACTGAATTTGTTTAATATACGATCATATGCAAGTTAAATTCCATGTTGTTGTTGACAACAAAGTAGCACATCTCTACAGAGAACACACTTAAACATGACATTTTTCTGCACAATTTCTATTTATTTGCTTTACTTTCTATTTTCTATTTATCTGCTTTATTTGTTTTACATATGTTTTTTTCCCAACATGATAAACTCAGTAAATAAACAGTAATTATGCATTAAAATGTACAGAACTGTGTCCTCTATAGAGGATGTGTTCACTTATTTACACCCATCAACAACAACATGCAATTTGACCAGTTTTTGCATATGAATTTCCATGGTGACTCTTTTCAACTCGGATTTTGGGTGTCATATTTTAATACCTCTCGTAGCAAAAAAAACACATTTTTAGACATTCTATGATGTAAATTATTTAAAAATCGATTTTAAAACTTTGACATTTTCAGGATCTGCTGGAATCCTGATGCAAAGCTCAGAAGACACGTGTGGGTTCACTGTTACTTTGGGATAGTAAATAAAATGGCCATATTTGCGTTGTTGTCACGGCGACCCCTGGTTCCTATGACAAACCTACGTCAAATCCAGAGTGATGAATTCACTGCTGGGATTCAAGAAGAGCTCCAAAGATTCATGATGATGAAGAGAGTTCTGAAGAGTTTGGAGGGGAGATGATGCTCCTCCATCTCTCCTGCATCCGCGTTTGAAATCTGCATCACCAGTGTAGCTAAGTAGTTACTGATGCCTACATCGTTACCACGGCAACCCATGCAGATAGACTGGTGATGTCTGGACACACAAATCCAATCTTAGTTCACTCTGACACACAAATATTAGACAATAATAGAAAATAATTGGACTAGAAAAGACAATAATATATTTACAGATTAGAAAAAAGAGCTAATAATTAAAAGTAAGACTTAACAGAAACCAACAAAACTGCTAAGAATGCTGGGAAGTTTTTTGGCCAAAAGACTCTTCAGTCTGTAGGACTGATCCAAATGAACTGATCTTGAGTAGATTCCCCTCAGTAACTAACGATGAGACAAGAAATAGCGAGTGTTTTGTATTATAACCCCATTCCAAAAAACACTGTGCAGAATGTGAATAAAAATAGGATGCAGTAATATGCAAATCATGTAAACCATATTTTTAAAGGAAAATGCTACAAAGACAACATATCAAATGTTGAAACTTTATTGTTTTTTGAAAAATATATGCTCATTTTGAATTTGATGCAAACAACACGTTCCAAAAAAGTTGGGACGGGGGCCTGTTTACCACTGTGTTTCATCACCTCTTCTTTAACAGCACTCTGTAAGCGTTTGGGAACTGAGGAGACACTGCTGTAGTTTAGAAAGTGAAATGTTTTCCTGTTCTTGTATGATACAGGATTTCAGCTGCTCATCAGTTCAGGGGCTCATTTGTTGTATTTTTCATTTCATCAAGTACCATTTGTTTTCAGTGGTGACAGGTCTGGACTGCAGGCAGGTCAGTTTAGCACCTGGACTCTTTTAATACGGAGCAATGCTGCTGTAATACATGCAAAATGTGGTTTGACATCGTCTCGCTGAATTAATCAAGGCCTTCCCTGAAAAAGACGTCGTCTGGATGGCAGCATATGTTGCCAAAACATGTATATATCATTCAGCATTAATGGTGCCTTCACAGATGTGCACGTCACCCATACCATGTGCACTAATGCCCCCTATACCATCATGAATACTGGCTTTTGAACTGTGCACTGATAACAAGCTGAGTGGTCTTTAGCCCAGAGGACAGTGTCCATGATTTCCAAAAAGAATTTCAAATGTTGATTCGTCAGACCACAGGACACTTTTCCACTTCCCCCTCAGTCCATTTTAAATGAGCTCAGGCCCAGAGAAGGTGGCAGCGTTTCTGGATCTTGTTTATATTTGGTTTCTTCTTTATGTTTTAGAGTTTTAACTTGCATTTGTGGATGCAGTGATGAACAGTTTTCACAGACAGTGGTTTTCAGAAGTGTTTCTGAGCCCATGCAGTGATTTCCACTACAGAATCATGTCTGTTTTTAATGCAGTGCTGCCTGAGGGCCCAAAGATCACGGCCAGCAAATACTGGTTTTTGGCCTCGACTCTTACATACAGAGATTTCTCCAGATTCTCTGACTCTTTTAATGATATTATGTACTGTAGATGATGAAAAGCAAAAGTTCTTTGCTATTTTACGTTGAGAAACGTTTTTCTTGAATTGTTGCACTGTTTGATGGTGCAGTCTTTCACAGAGTGGTGAACCCCTCCTCATCTTTACTTCTGAAAGACTCCGCCTCTCTGAGATGCTCTTTTATACCCAATCAGGTTACTGACATGTTGCCAATCAACCACCAGGTTTTTTTTTTTATCATTACACAACTTTACCAGCCTTTTGTTGCCCCCGTCCCAACTTTTTGTGTGGTTGGCATCCAGTTCAAAATGGGCAAATATTTTTCAAAAGCCAATAAAATTTCACAGTTTCAACATTTGATATGTTGTCTTTGTACTATTTTCAATGAAATATAGGATTTTGATGATTTGCACATCATTGCATTTTGTTTTTATTTACATTTTGCACAGCATCCTAACTTTTTTGGAAATGGCGTTGTAGTAAGTTTAACAAATTAGTAAAGTAAACCTAAAAAAGTAGTTCAATTATTGTTCAAGTGCAATTATTTTGACTTTATGTCTCAAACCACTGAATCTGTGGAATTCCTCTTTAGACCCCCCAGATTCTTGGCTCTCATGCATGCAGACAAGAAAAATGATTTTTAGTGCTAAGTTGTTTTGGCACCCAGCCTGAATCGTTTCTTGAACACTCATTATAAACTAATGACATATGAAACACAGCTATTTGATTTCATCATCAGTAACTAATTTCAGTTTGTAATATATTGTTCTAGTACAAAATAAAACACTTTCAGTGAAATAAGGACAACCTGAAAACTATACAGTAGAAAAACCACCTGCTCTTGCGTCCCTACCACTCGTCCATTCTACCATAGAGGTCATACTCCTTGTAGATCAGGTAGTTCTTCAGGGCGGGGGGGAAAGGAACAGCTCTCATGAACTCAGGGTCGTTCAGTCTTCTCAGGGTCATCTTCTCCCTGATGAGCAGCCTGCACAGGTGCTGCAGCGAGCGCGGGTTCCCTGCGACGGTAGAGATGTTCATTAGAGCTTCACTCATTGTCCATTTTATCAGCTCCACTGACCACAGTTTCACTCTGTAGTTCTATAGTTACAGACTGTAGTCCATCTGTTTCTCTGCATACTATGTTACCCTGTTCTTCAGTGGTCAGGACCCCCACAGAGCAGCTATTATCTGGGTGGTGGGTCATTCTCAGCACTGCAGTAACACTGACGTGGTGGTGGTGTGTTAGTGTGTGTTGCGCTGGTAAGAGTGGATCAGACACAGCAGTGCTGCTGGAGTTTTTAAACACTGTGTCCACTCACTGTCCACTCTATTAGACACTCCTACCTTGTCAGTCCACCTTGTAGATGTAAAGTCAGAGACGATAGCTCATCTGCTGCTGCACAGTTTGTGTTGGTCGTCCTCTAGTCTTTCATCAGTGGTCACAGGACGCTGCCCACAGGACGCTGTTGGCTGGATATTTTTGGTTGGTGGACTATTCTCAGTCCAGCAGCGACACTGAGGTGTTTAAGAACTCCAGCCGCATTGCTGTGTCTGATCCACTCATACCAGCGCAACACACACTAACATACCACCTCCACGTCAGTGTTACTGCAGTCCTGAGAATGACCCACCACCCAAATAGTACCTGCTCTGTGAGGGTCCATGGGGGTCCTGACCACTGAAGAACAGGGTAAAAGGGGGCTAACAAAGTATCAGAGAAACAGATGGACTACAGTCTGTAACTGTAGAACTACAAAGTGCACCTATATAGTAAGTGGAGCTGATAAAGTGGACAATGAGCGTAGAAACAAGGAGGTGGTCAGAATGTTGTGCCTGATCGGTGTATATATTGTGGTGGAGGGCAGCTCCATCACATGACTGTAGATGGGTTTTTGTATATATTTTTCTTTTTATGTTGTATCACCCTTTTTATTATAACTGTACTGTGTTGTGTGACTGAGACTGGCTGCTAAATATCCTTCAAGATCAATAAAGTATCATCTATCTATCTGCTTGTATGTCTATCTATCTATCTATCTATCTGGTGTCCTCAAGTTGAGTCAACTCAAGAAAAGCCATTATAGGCCCTCAATGTTGAATGAACACGGTGTGAGTGTGTCTTACTGAGGATGTCGCAGATCTCAGGCCACTCTTTATGTCTCTCCAGGATGATCTGCAGCTTGGAGCAGATGGGCACATGCCTCACGTAGTCCAGGAGGGTCCGCACCACCCGGCCCACCAGGTGCCTCAGGGAGGACACGCTGACGAATTCACAGAACTGACAGAGACAGAACAGAACATTAGGATCGGCTGCATTGTTGGACAATTAAGAACAGCTAAGGGTTTTTCACACAGCAGGAGTTTTACTAAGACTGAATAAACTAAACCCGAAGTTGGAGCTTTGATTATTATCAGTAATCAATTAATCCGCTGAGTTAAATGAACCATAACAGATGTTAAAGGACTCAAAAATACTTTACTGGAAAAAAAAATCTCAGATAGGGAAGGTTAAAAAACAGATATTACATTTTTTTTGTATTTATCTTTTTAATTTTATGATGTTTTTGTCTCAGTTTGTTTGAATTAATACTCTGAACTGCCATTTATTTGTTTTCTTTTATTATTGTTACTGAACTTTATCAACATGTGAAGCTCTTTGAGCTCATTATTATTATTAACAGTAATAACAGTAAAACCATCACTGAATTCATTCGTTTGCTTACTTTGATGCATTTATTTACAATTATATTTAAGTTGATAAAAAGTCAGGCATACACATCCATCTCCCTGTGCCTTTTGAGGTTCTTCCCAAAATTATTGATTAACAGCTCTGATATGTATGATTCATCTGAAAATCGTGAATGTCACTCAGCGGCGCCCTCTAAGGCCATCATTAACAAACACCAAATAAACGAACGTTGCTCACTGCTGCCCTCTAAAGGTGTTATAGCACCAAATCAGAAGTTAATTAACTTTGTTTTCGTAAGACCAAACGTGTCTTAATAAATGTTTTCTGTCTCATTATATTTACTTGCCTCAGACCAACTGACAAAAACGCCCAATTAAATCTTTTGTTGCATTGTAAACATAAGACTGTGAAAGCTAATAACTGTGGAAAATAATTGTGGTCAGCTTAAATAGTTGCAGTTATCTCCAATAACTGTGATCACGCAAGTATATAATAACTGTGCCGGGCCTATTTAGTGCTAACATGTCTACCATGAATCTACAAGCTGCTCAGTGTGGCTTCATAATGACTTGGCATGTTTTTCATTCAAATTATGAACCAAATTTTTGCCAGTTCATCAAGAAACTAAATTTTAATCATCACACGATTAAAGGCCTCAGCATACTTCCTGTGAAATGAAGTTCGCGAGCATTGCGTGAAGCCGAAAGGGCCTTCGCGAGCTTACAAGCCCAAATACTGCCGCCATTTAAGGTGGAATGGGAAAATATGAACAAGAAGCTGGTGAATAGAAAGCCAACAGAGTCAAGCTATACATTTTGGTGCTCTACTACTGGTTAGTACTACCGAATTGACTTAACGTCTTACATTTAGGAGGTTTTCAATGTTTATTTAACAAATGTGCGTTTCACTAAAACATTGGTGTCTCTGCCAGCGCTCAGTGTACTTCTTTTGAAACAGAGCTCCTCACAGTTGACCAGCTTTGTCTTATGGCACGCCTCTTTTTTACTGACCAATCACAGGCTTTGTTGCGCAGTGGTGGATGCAATTCGTAATTTGTATCTGTACTTTACTGAAGTTTTTCCATTTTGGGTGACTTTTTACTTTCACTCCACTACATTTCAAAGTCAAATATCTCACTTTTTACTCCACTACATTATGAGAAATCTGTCGTTCCTTTTGGTTTATGTGTGTATAAAAACGTAACACGTCAAAACGAAAGAAGCGCAAAGCAAGAACACCAATCAGGGCACAGCGCTCACTTTGTTTTGAGCTTGTTTTGTCCTGTTGGTCATACCGACCCAGTGCAGCACACGGTTCAACATCAGTGCTGCAGCGTAAAATTTTGGGAGTCTATTCAACATAAATGATGAACTAACCTAACTTTGTGTAAACAGACCACAATATAGAAATATGTACACATATGCAGTTGTGACTGACGTGTCTTTATTCTGAATTTATACAAACACTATTTAATTTTATAGTAAATTAGTTTTGTCTAGTTTATGTTTATGAACAGAGACCTACAGATGCAGTTTAATAAAGGAAACTCATTTGTGAATCTGAGTTTAAAGTTTTTATTAAACTTAAACTTGTAACTAAGTTGTAAATAAATCTTAAACTGAAACTTTGCTTGTTTGTAAAAAGTGATTTCAGAGCCACTCAGTTCTACCTGATGGAAACTGTTCGCCTTCAGTGTTTTGTGCTTTTGATCATTTTGATAGACAGGATGTGAAAAAAGCAGCTGTGTAAGAATCCAAAACAGACTGTGCCTGTTAAAATGAACCTACCGTCACTTTGCTGGATCTGCTGACCGTCTCACTCTCTAGTGTGTAACTCTGCTCCCAGATGTAGGGCATCACGGGGCAGACGTCGTGGTCACACTGAAAGCAGCTCTCTACATGGTAGCCGTTGTTGAGGAGCAGGCGCAGCATCATCTCGTCCTGCAGGCAGTACTGCAGCGCCGTGGGGAACAGCGTATCGTTAATCAACGTGAAGAAGCAGTTGACGTCTGCGCCGTAGGCCAGGAGCAGCCGCACCAGCTCGTAGCGGCTAGCCCTGACGGCCACTAGGAGGCAGCGCAGAGGGTCCAGGTCGGGATGGGCTCCAGCATTGAGCAGCATCTTTGTACAGGTGACGTCACCGTTTGAAACTGCGAAATACAGCGGGGTCTTCCTCATGTCGCCGTAGTTGTCGGAGATGTGGCTCCCCAGGAGATAGTTGACGTCAAAGCCCTTGTCAATGAGCAGCTCCAGGCAGGAGGCCTGACCTCCGTCTGCAGCCGAGTGCACCGGACTCATCCCAGACAAACGGATGGCCCTCTTAGTGGTAATGGGAACGAGCGTCTTCAGAGCCCTGAGAGTTTAAAGACCAAATATATTCAGCCATAACATTAAAACCACCACCTCGTTTCTACACTCACTGTCCATTTAATCAGCTCCACTGACCACATAGTTTCAATCTGTAGTTCTACAATTACAGACTGTAGTCCATCTGTTTCTCTGCATACTTCGTTACCCTGTTCTTCAGTGGTAAGGACCCCCATGGACCCTCACAGAGCAGGTACTATTTGGGTGGTGGATCATTCTCAGCACTGCAGTAACACTGACGTGGTGGTGGTGTGTTAGTGTGTGTTGCGCTGGTCTGAGTGGATCAGACACAGCAGTGCTGCTGGAGTTTTTAAACACCTCAGTGTCACTGCTGGACTGAGAATAGTCCACCAACCAAAAACATCCAGCCAACAGCGTCCTGTGGGCAGCGTCCTGTGACCACTGATGAGGGACTAGAGGATGACCAACACAAACTGTGCAGCAGCAGATGAGCTATCGTCTCTGACTTTACATCTACAAGGTGGACTAACAAGGTAGGAGTGTCTAATAGAGTGGACAGTGAGTGGACACAGTGTTTAAAAACTCCAGCAGCACTGCTGTGTCTGATCCACTCGTACCAGCGCAACACACACTAACACACCACCACCACGTCAGTGTCACTGCAGTGCTGAGAATGACCCACCACCCAAATAGCACCTGCTCTGTGAGGGTCACAGGGCAGACGTCGTGAACAGGGCAATAAAATATGCAGAGAAACAGATGGACTACAGTCTGTAGGTTCACTGGTGGTTCTGGATAGTAAATAAAATGTCTATATCTGTGTTGTAGTCATGGCGACCCCTGGTTCCTATCACCACCACTGTAAAGACAGCTGAGCCATTTCACACCAAACCACCCTGAATCTCTCTGATTACATCAGAAACACTGAGTTAGGCAGATATTCTCCCCTTTATTCCCCTTTAACAAAGATTTTGTTGACACTGTTGAAAGTCTTTCGTAGTTCGACCTAAGAATTACTTCATGTGGTAACAAGTAAATTAAATCAAAGTAATTTGATGAGTTGAGTAAAACTAGCTTAATTGCTTGTGACCACATGAAGTATTTTATAGGTTGAACTACAAAACATCTAACAGTGCAGAGCAGCGTTCATGGACGTCTCACTAAAACTGAAATGTATTTTTAGTCTTAGAATCAAACGAAAAAGGCCAAGTTCACATCACAGCCCTTTCACTTTCACACCCTCTTCACTGAGGGGAAGGGGGGCGGTTTCAAATACATGCTCTGTCATTTTCCTCTCTAACAAAACCAAACCAACCACAGAGCTGAGCTGAGCACCCTCAGCTACACATGGTGTGCAGAACCAATTAGACTCTAAACCCAATTAGAGCCTTAGAGTGAAGCTGTATACGATCCAGATGTCACTGTGGACGCCCTGATGGTTAGTGCTGAAAGGCCACTGCTGCTGCACTCTTCTTTAGGGGTTCTTTAGTAAAGAACATGGTTCCATATAGAACAAACAACACTTTGCATGATTTAATGGTTCTTTGCATCATGAAAGCGTTCTTCAGATTGATGGAGAATGTGCTGTAGATGGTTCTATTTAGAGGCTTTTTGAAAAGGGTTCTAAATAGCACCCAAAAGGGTTCTTCTTTTGTTACAATGTCAAGCTTATTATAATAGAAGAACCCTTTTGGGTGCTATATAGAACCACCTACAGCACACTCTCCATCAGTCTGAAGAACACTTTCATGATGCAAAGAACTCGTTAATCGTGCGAAGGGTTCTTTGCATGTTCATGGTTCTATATAGAACCATTTTCTTTACTAAAGAACCTTTGAAGAACCATCTTTTTTAGAAGTGTAGGTCACTCTCTGGTGTTTGAGGTGAGCTTATTACTGCTGTTATCCCATGTGGAAAAAAATATATTCCAAATGTGTTTATCAAGTATATTTTTGCAGTGTATGAAAATGGCCCATAAATGTATTTATTAAACATATTTTTAAAATGTATTTATTAGTTTGTGTTATTATCTGTGTTCAGTTGTGTGTAATGAAGGTTCCAGATGTAACTAAACGTTCTTCTGTGATCTGCACTGTACTTTACATTAACCATGTACGTCTGCAGTCAGACTCTCACACACAATGTATTTCACATAAACAAGATATCAGATCATAACTGCATTTTCACAGAGTATCAATACCCACAACACTCGCTTCTGTCCTGATAAAGGATCATTAGATCAGATTTAAAATGAAGAGACTGGAACACAAATTTATCTCTAAAGGTATCAGACAGTGAAGAGCATCAGACAGGATTTTGGATATTTTCATACATTTTCAAACAGATCTGATAAACACATTTACATACATTTATTTTTGTATGGTGCATTTCTGTGTGTAATATTTCCCCATACATTTTAAAATAGATGAGTTTTAAAAATTTGGTTGATGTGTATTTCAAGTATATTCAAATATACACAGATCAGTCATAACATTCTGACCACCTCCTTGTTTCTACGCTCATTGTCCATTTTATCAGCTCCACTTACTATATAGGTGCACTTTGTAGTTCTACAGTTACAGACTGTAGTCCATCTGTTTCTCTGATACTTTGTTAGCCCCCTTTTACCCTGTTCTTCAGTGGTCAGGACCCCCACAGAGCAGCTATTATCTGGGTGGTGGGTCATTCTCAGCACTGCAGTGACACTGACGTGGTGGTGGTGTGATAGTGTGTGTTGCGCTGGTGTGAGTGGATCAGACACAGCAGTGCTGCTGGAGTTTTTAAACACTGTGTCCACTCACTGTCCGCTCTATTAGACACTCCGACCTTGTCCCCTTTTACCCTGTTAGCCCCCTTTTACCCTGTTCTTCAGTGGTCAGGACCCCCATGGACCCTCACAGAGCAGGTACTATTTGGGTGGTGGGTCATTCTCAGCACTGCAGTAACACTGACGGGGTGGTGGTGTGTTAGTGTGTGTTGTGCTGATACGAGTGGATCAGACACAGCCGTGCTGCTGGAGTTTTTAAACACTGTGTCCACTCACTGTCCGCTCTATTAGACACTCCTACCTTGTCGGTCCACCTTGTAGATGTAAAGTCAGAGACGATAGCTCATCTGCTGCTGCACAGTTTGTGTTGGTCATCCTCTAGTCCTTCATCAGTGGTCACAGGACGCTGCCCACAGGACGCTGTTGGCGGGACATTTTTGGTTGGTGGACTATTCTCAGTCCAGCAGCGACACTGAGGTGTTTAAAAACTCCAGCAGCACTGCTGTGTCTGATCCACTCAGACCAGCGCAACACACACTAACACACCACCACCACGTCAGTGTTACTGCAGTCCTGAGAATGACCCACCACCCAAATAGTACCTGCTCTGTGAGGGTCTCCATGGGGGTCCTGACCACTGAAGAACAGGGTAAAAGGGGGCTAACAAAGTATCAGAGAAACAGATGGACTACAGTCTGTAACTGTAGAACTACAAAGTGCTCCTATATAGTAAGTGGAGCTGATAAAATGGACAATGAGTGTAGAAACAAGGAGGTGGTCAGAATGTTATGCCTGATCGGTGTATGTCCATATATTTTTTTCTATATGGGATTAGACTGTGCTGAAGGTGTACGGTGAGGTGGGCTCACAGGTAATGCCCCTCATACGCTGCACGGTGGATGGGGAGCTGAAAAGCCAGACTGGCCACATTGGGATCTGCGCCGTGGTTGAGGAGCAGGTGAATGCAGTCGATGTTTCCAGAGCCTGTTGCATCATATATCACGCTGTCTCCATTGGTGGCCTGTGCAGTGACATCGCCTCCTAGTGGAGAAAGAGGGAACATGACACAGCAAAGTCAGTCTGGATTCATTTCTGATCATAAACTTCACTTCACAAAATCCCTTTTCACAGCATTTCTCTGTCCTTCTTTTCGGTTCTGTTGGTCATTTCTGCATAGACCTACTCAAAAAGATGGCTCTTTGAGGTTCTTTAGTAAAGGGAATGGTTCTATCCAGAGCCATGTAGAACGATTTGCATGCTTAAATGGTTCTTTGCATGGTGAAATTGTTCTGCAGATTGATGGAGAATGTGTTGTGTATGGTTCTATATCAAACTTGTTTGAAAATGGTTCTATATAGAACCAAAAGCTATGACAATGTAACAATAGCAGAACCCTTTTTAGAGCTATATTGAACTATTTTCCAAAAGATTCTATATAAAGAACCATTTAATCATGAAATGAGTCTATAAACAGAACTAGTACTTTCACTAAAGAACATTTGAAGAACCATCTTTTTTAAGTGTGTAGTCTTGTTCCTCACCATGTTCGATGAGGATTTCCAGAATGTCAGCATGGCCAAACTCTGCGGCGATGCCCAGTGGCGTCACGCCGTGTCCGTCACAGGCAGTGACCTTCCCGCCATGCCTGAGGAGCAGCATCAAGATGTCCGTGCAGCCCACCTTGGCAGCCTCGTGAGTGGCCGTCCACTTCTTCAGACACACCTGCTCCACAAACGCTCCGCCCAAGATCAGCACCAGCACCATGTCATAGGAGCCGATCCCGACCGCTGTGGGAGAAAAACAAGAGACCATGAAGCAGATTTACTAACAATTTGGCTTTAAAAATGTTTAAAGATGTGAGGTTTTCCTGATTTACACTGATCAGGCGTAACAGTCTGACCACCTCCTTGTTTCTACACTCATTGTCCATTTTATCAGCTCCACTTACTATATAGGTGCACTTTGTAGTTCTACAGTTACAGACTGTAGTCCATCTGTTTCTCTGATACTTTGTTAGCCCCCTTTTACCCTGTTCTTCAGTGGTCAGGACCTCCATGGACCCCCACAGAGCAGGTACTATTTGGGTGGTGGGTCATTCTCAGCACTGCAGTAACACTGACGTGGTGGTGGTGTGTTAGTGCGTGTTGCGCTGGTCTGAGTGGATCAGACACAGCAGTGCTGCTGGAGTTTTTAAACACCTCAGTGTCACTGCTGGACTGAGAATAGTCCACCAACCAAAAATATCCAGCCAACAGCGTCCTGTGGGCAGCGTCCTGTGGGCAGCGTCCTGTGACCACTGATGAAGGACTAGAGGATGACCATCACAAACTGTGCAGCAGCAGATGAGCTATCGTCTCTGACTTTACATCTACAAGGTGGACTGACCAGGTAGGAGTGTCTAATAGAGTGGACAGTGAGTGGACACAGTGTTTAAAAACTCCAGCAGCACTGCTGTGTCTGATCCACTCGTACCAGCGTAACACACTAACACACCACCACCACGTCAGTGTTACTGCAGTGCTGAGAATGATCCACCACCCAAATAGTACCTGCTCTGTGAGGGTCCATGGGGGTCCTGACCACTGAAGAACAGGGTAACAAAGTATCAGAGAAACAGATGGACTACAGTCTGTAACTGTAGAACTACAAAGTGCACCTATATAGTAAGTGGAGCTGATAAAATGGACAATGAGCGCAGAAACAAGGAGGTGGTCATAATGTTATGCCTGACCAGTGTATTTTATGGAGTATTTTACCCAGGAGCAGCGGCGTTTCATTCTTGCTGTTGGTGTTGTGTGGAGAAGCGCCGTGATCCAGCAGCTTCTTCACATTCTGCACATGGCCGGCCTGGACAGCCAGAGTCAGCACCGTCTCGCCGTCTCCGGTGACCTCCTCCATGCTCAGCTCGTGGGACGCTGTCCAAGCACAGAATACTAGATTAAAGGGGAAATCCACTGATTTTTCTAAATTTCTGCATGATTGAATGTGGTAGATGTAATCAGAGAGATTCAGGGTGGTTTGGTGTGAAATGGTTCAGATGTCTTTACAGTGGTGGTGATAGGAACCAGGGGTCGCCATGACTACAACACAAATATAGACATTTTATTTACTATCCAGAACCACCAGTGAACCTACACGAGTCTTCTGAGTTTATATGGAATGTTGATGATGGAAAATAGTGGAAAATCTGGAATAATAAGTTTTCTTTGGGGACTATTTTGCCTCACAGCGCCCTGCATGTATCCCTCCACCATGAACGAAGTTTAAGTTCTCTAAACTATCGTAAAACAACGTCTCAGTCATCAGGCAGTGAATTCATAACCATTTCATATAGTAACTTTCTGTGAGGAGCTTTTAGAGGTGGACGTCTGGTTCCTATCACCACCACTGTGAACAATTCTGACTCGGTAAGTTTCTCTAGAACGGAGCTTTTCACACCAAACCACTCTGAATGACCCTGTTTACATCTTAATGATATATGATAATAATAATAATGATAATAAGCATTCATACACAAAGTAGCTCAAAGGGTTTTCCAATCAAACAGTGAAGCTGAGAAATAAAAGCAGAAAGAGCAGAAAAACAAATTAGAGTAAAATGAAAAGTTAAATTTGAACAGTATTTTAAACACAGGCTAAAGCTTATCCCCCTGCGATCTAGGAGGATAAGCGGCATAGACATTGTGTGTGTTTGTGTGTGTGTGTGTGTGTGTGTTTTCAAACTGTAAAAAACACCAAAGGTCTCTCCACTTTTAACCACAACCCGTGGTCACTTTCCTGGAGGCTACAATGACCTGTAACTGCCAAACATGCATGGGAGACCCAGCACATCACACAGTCAGCAGGTTATTTTGGGGATTCTGCAGTGCTTGAAATGAACACTTATAATGTTTCATGTGATTATGACATATGAGTCTGACCCCGCTCACCCAGAAGAACGGCGTTCAGGAGCTGGGCATTCGGCTGGACAGAGGCTCTGTGCATGGGCAGCCATCCCCGGCTGTCCGTCTCCTTAAAGGCACTTTGGTGATGATGCAACTCCCGCACAGCAGACACATCACCTGGAGGACATCACATTGTTTAAAACCACTGAAGAAATGGACACACAATCTCATTGTCTTGACCACAACATCACGGAAAGGCAAAGTCAAGCGGTTCTCTGTACTGTATGGTGCATTAAAGGGCCCATTTCATGAAAAACTCAGTGTGTAAAGTTTCAAAAAGTCTGTTCAGTTCACAGATGGAAAATACGCTGCATTTCGAAGTCGCTGATGATGTCACAAAAAACAATTCACTTAAGCTACGTTCACATTACAAGACTCATTGCTCAGATTCGATCTCTCTGACAGGATGGTTCACACTCGTTTAGGTTAGTGATTCAAATCTGTCATTAATGTGACGAACCGGCGTCCTGAAATGACCCTCATGAGCTCATCCTACTCAGTAACGTCACGTGAATGAATCACGTGCATCAGCAGCACAAACTAACGAGCAGAACGAGCTTCGCTGAGAAGATCATTAACTCTGATCAGCTCTCAGCTTCATTATTAGAGCGAGACGAAGGAGAAAAAGGTGAGATGAGCTGCTTTTCCACCGTTTACAGGCTTTAACTTCTGCTCGGCGCTGCTGCCATGGTAACGCTGAATGATGGCACAGTGGAAAACAAGCACATGAATTCCGATCTGAGCGTCACATTAAGGTCGCATGGCCACGAATCGGATATGTATCATATGAAAGTGACTCAGGTCAGATTCGAAAAGATCAGATTTGTGTCCACACAGCTCTGAAAACATCAGATCTGAGTCACATTAGGGCAGAACCTGGTAATGTGAACAGAGCCTTACATACATCAACCCATTCAGCCTATAGCAGTTTAGCCCCGCCCACTTCACGATGGAGTATAAGGAGTGTTTCAACCCAGACTGCTTTTGAATGAGGCAGCCAATCAGAACAGAGCTCATTCAGGGGGGGGGAATAAAGGAAATATGTAGGATATGGGTCTTTTAAACTGCAGTAGATTTTACAATGAAAGATGTTTTTAACAATATTTTAAAACTGCACTTTTATTTATGATTCAATGCAGTTTATTAATGATGTTTTCAGCATATTAAAAGTGCATTGCATTGTTTTTTGTGACAGGAACCAGACGTCCGCTCTAAAAGCTCCCTCACAGAAAGTTCCTACATGAAATGGTTATGAATTCACTGCCTGATGACTGAGACACTGTTTTATGATAGTTTTGAGATTAAAAAACATTTTTATTCATAAAGTAATTCATAAAATCTCATCATTTGACTACACTCTTAAAAAGACGGTTCTTCAAGGGTTCTTTAGTAAAGAAAATGGTTCTGTATAGAACCATGAACACTCAAAAAACCCTTTGCATGATTAAAGGGTTCTTTGCATGATGAAAAGCCTCTTCGGACTGATGAAGAATGTGCTGTAGATGGTTCTATATAGCACCTTTTTGAAAAGGGCTCTATATAGCACCAAAAGAGGTACAATGTAAGGCTTGTTACAATAGAAGAACCCTTTTTGGTTCTTTGCATGGTGAAATAGTTCTTCAGACAGATGGAAAATGTGCTGTACATGGTTCTATATAGAACCTTTTGCAAAAGGGTTCTAAATAGCTCCCCAAAGAGTTCTTTTATTGGTATAAGCTGGACATTGTAACAGCAGAGGAACCCTTTTGGGTGCTATTTAGAACCATTTATAAAAATGTTCTATATAGCACCATCTAAAGCACATTCTCCATCAGTCTGAAGAACCATTTCACCATGCAAAGAACATTTTAATCATGCAAAAGGTTTTTTGAGTGTTCTTGGTTCTATATAGAACCATTTTCTTCACTATAGAACCCCTGAAGAACCATCTTTTTTTAAGAATTTAAGTATCTCATAATAATAAGAAACTTTCTCATTATTAGGACTTAATATCTCATGGTTCTAACCTTTTTTTGATTAACCTAATTTTTGGCCTAAGACCTTGTTTTATTCGTTCATGGTGGAGGGATACATGCAGGGTGTTGTAAAGCAAAATAGTTCTGAAAGAAAACTTATATTTTCATATTTTTCATTAGTTTATCCTCTTCAAACATTACATATAGACTCGTGTAGGTTCACTGGTGGTTCTGGATAGTAAATAAAATGTCTATATTTGTGTTGTAGTCATGGTGACCCCTGGTTCCTATCACCACCACTGTAAAGACATCTGAACCATTTCACACCAAACCCCTCTGAATGATTCTGATTACACCTCACACACTGAGTTATGTAGAGATTCTGAGTAATGGGTGGTAACAACATGTGTAATGACAGTGACAGAACACAGCCTGTGAGGTTACCTTGCTCAATAGCGGCTAAAATCTTCAGATTTTCATCGCTCGCCGTTTCCAGGATACTTAAGTTGAGTCAGAAGAGATAAAAACAGCTGCATTAGAATTCGCAGTGACCACATTCAGCACCTGCCGAACAAACCGTGAGTGGAAAATGAACCTGAGTGAGTGAAAAGCCTTTTATACTCACCTGGAAGACGTCTGAAGCGGGAATGTACAAGCTTCCTGAAGGCTGACTCGGATGGCAAAATCGATGAGCTGCTCTTCATCCATCTCCTCAACGTCTGTCATGGTTATTTCACCGTGTTTACAAACAAAACTCTAATGTAAACAAGGCCCACGCGCTCAGAGCCGTGCTCAGCTCACTGAGGTCTGTGTTGTGTTTTTGTGTGAGTGAAAACTGCAGAGCGCCACAAAACCACTGTTTATCAGACGAGTGCTGAAGTTTATATTTAGACTTGACCCCATTTTCACCGACTGGCCGTTCTGAGAAAGAATGCAGGTCACTGTGACTGGGTTCCCGCTCGGTTCTGCCAGGGATAAACACGTGGAGAAGGCCAGAGGAACAACAGCAGTCCTGGAGACGAGGAACACTGGACTGCTCTGAAGATGAGCAGCTATGGAAGCCTGTTTACAGCACTGGAAGAAGAAATATAGACAGTTAATAAGTCATAATAATGAGAAAGTTGCTCATAGTTATGACTTAGTATCTCATAAGTTTGACTAAGTGTCCCATCATGATGACTTTATTTTCTATTTCTTTTCATTTTCTAATTATTATGACATACTAATTCATAATTATGAGATGGTGAGTCATTAATATGAGATATTAAGTCATTATTATTAAACATTAAGTCATGATTGTGATAAACATTCTCGTTATTATGACACAGCAAGTCATTTTGTGTTGAGATACCAATTCATATGCAAAATTTTGTCAATATTATGGCATATTAAGTCATTACTGTGAGATATTAGGTTATATTTGTCAGAGAAATTCTTATTATCATGAGAATATTATGAGTCTTTAGATGTAAGATTACATAGTCAAATTACAAAGTTATGAATTAAGTAATTTTTATGAGATATTACTTCATTGCTATGAAATATTAGATAGTAATGATGAGAAACACTCATTATTATGAAATATTAAGTCATTATTATGTAATAGTACATCTTAATGATGAAAAATCTCATTATTATGAGTTATTATGTAATATTGCATCATAATGATGAGAAACATTGTCATTTTGTGAGATATTTAGTCAGAATTATGAGAAACCAATTCATAAATATGCAAGATTTTGTCAATATTAACGCATATTAAGTCATTACTGTGAGATATTGGGTCATGATTGCCAGAAAAATTCATATTATTATGAGAGTATTATGAGTCTTTAGATTTAAAGACAATCAAATTACAAAATTAAGTAATTTTATGAGATATTACATCATTACTATTATATATGAGGTAATGATTATGAGAAACATTTTATCTCATTATTATGAGATATCAAGTCATTATTATGTAATATTACATCACAAAGATGAAAAACATTCTCATTATTATGAGATATTCCTCATTAAGATTAATTCATAACTTTTGTTTGTTTGTTTGTTTGTTTACTCATGTCCATTTACAGGCTCAGTTATGACTATAATAACTGTAATAACTAATAATTATAATCCTAGCGAAATTTCACACTCATTAATGTACATTTAGTAACGCCAAGTCCATTTATGGAGATAAGTATCTTGAGATAATATGATCTTGAGATGATTATGCCAAGAAAATGATCCTGAGATATTTATTTCATGATACAGTAACCATGTGGTACCTTAATGACCACCAGGAGGCAGAAGATCACCCTTTTAAAAACATACACTATGTCCTCTCGTGGGCTCCGTAGGTTACTGGTTTATGGTTAAAAACATTGAAAACAAACCGATGAACTGTATGGAGGACCAGATTTGCCAAAATGAAAAATAAATAAAATTAAAAATAAATGACTTAGTAAATTAATATATGAAGTAGAATAATGATGATAAATCTAAAAATAAATAAATATACACAACAATTAATATATTAATAAATAAAATATTATATAAATTAATATGTCTGCATTTATTTGTGTGTATTTAATAATTTTCCCTTATTTTTTGTTATTTATGTTTCTTTATTAACATTTTTTCAGTTTTTCTATTCATTTATTTCCATAACTGTTAATTTCTATATTTATTTATCTCTCTATTTATTTATTTCTCTATTTCCTTATGCTAATAAATGGGCTGTCAGTCAATGATGTCACAGCATCTCAATATTGCTATTGGTTGGTCGATGTCAGACTCTGTAGGTCGATTGCACGTGTCTTGCTCTCTCAGCAGTAGCTGAGGACCAGACAATACAGTAATGTCTGCTTACAGCAGCAGACAGTCAGAGATCTGAGAGTCTCGGCTGATCTGGCTGAAGATGCAGGTCTGGATTATTGACTCTTCCGTTGGAGGCTGTGGGGACAGTTTGGTCCATTTTGCTGCCTCTGCTTGTTTAGAGGTCGACCCTGTAGTGTTCAGAACTTTGGAGGAGGTGGTTCATCGTCTTTTTCTGCAAAATTCAGATCACAGAGACATGTGCCACATTACCCCACTTACACTATACTGCCAAAAGTATTCACTCACCCATCCAAATCACTGAATTCAGGTGTTCTAGTCAGTTCCATGGCCACAGGTGTGTAAAACCAAGCACCTAGGCCTGCAGACTGCTTCTACAGACATTAGTGAAAGAATGGGTCGCTCTCAGGAGCTCAGTGAGTTCCAGCGTGGTACTGTGATAGGATGACACCTGTGCAACAAGTCCAGTCGTGAAATTTCCTCGCTACTAAATATTCCACAGTCAACTGTCAGTGGTATTATAACAAAGTGGAAGCGATTGGAAACAACAGCAACTCAGCCACAAAGTGGTTGGCCACGTAAAATGACAGAGTGGGGTCAGCGGATGCTGAGGCGCATAGTGCGCAGAGGTCACCAACTTTCTGCGGAGTCAATCACTACAGACCTCCAAACTTCATGTGGCCTTCAGATCAGCTCAAGAACAGCGTAGAGAGCTTCATGGAATGGGTTTCCATGGCCGAGCAGCTGCATCCAAGCCTTACATCACCAAGCGCAATGCAAAGCGCTGAATGCAGTGGTGTAAAGCGCCGCCACTGGACTCCAGAGCAGTGGAGACGTGTTCTCTGGAGTGACCAATCACGCTTCTCCGTCTGGCAATCTGATGGACGAGTCTGGGTTTGATGGTTGCCAGGAGAACGGTACTTGTCTGACTGCATTGTGCCAAGTGTAAAGTTTGGTGGAGGGGGGATTATGGGGTGGGGTTGTTTTTCAGGAGTTGGGCTCGGCCCCTTAGTTCCAGTGAAAGAAACTCTTAATGCTTCAGCACCAAGAGATTTTGGACAATTTTATGCTTCCAACTTTGTGGGAACAGTTTGGGGAGTTTGGCCCCTTCCTGTTCCAACATGACTGCGCACCAGTGCACAAAGCAGCTCCATAAAGACATGGATGAGCGAGTTTGGTGTGGAAGAACTTGACTGGCCTGCACAGAGTCCTGACCTCAACCCGACAGAACACCTTTGGGATGAATTAGAGTGGAGACTGCGAGCCAGGCCTTCTCGTCCAACGTCAGTGTCTGACCTCACAAATGCGTTTCTGGAAGAACGGTCAAAAATTCCCATAAACACTCCTAAACCTTGTGGAAAGCCTTCCCAGAAGAGCTGAAGCTGTTGTAGCTGCAAAGGGTGGGCCGACATCATATTAAACCCTATGGATTAAGAATGGGACGTCACTCAAGTTCATATGCGTGTGAAGGCAGACGAGCGAATACTTTTGGCAATATAGTGTATCTGTTACCTCACTGATCCCTTTCTCTGCCACTATACACCCATTTACTGCTTTAACCTTTTCCTTTCCTTTAACTTTAGACCCATACTTTGCACAGTGTAAAGGTTACAGGTATGACTGTGTGTGTGTGTGTGTGTGTGTGTGTGTGTGTGTGTGTGAGTGAGTGATGATAGGAATGCATGTTTTATTTTTTATTTTTTTTGTATTGTATTTTTTTTAATATATTTTATGTAATATTTATTTTATTTTATTTTATTCACTACATGTAAATGTCTGTCTGATACTGTGCGCTGTGAGCTCCTGTAACCAGAACCTAATTCCTTGTATGTGTCAGCAAACCTGGCCAATAAAGCTTGATTCTGATTCTGATTCTGATTTTTATTCCGATTCTGATTCTGATTTGGACGCCCCTCTCACATACAGCCTGTGGAAGCCATGGAGGGTTATTTATCGACAGGTTTGTCTGTTCGTGCAGCTCTTTATGGAGTTGGTGAAAGAACAGTTTAATCAGCTCTTCTCCTCCTGGTCTTGATTGCTAAGCCTGAACGTGAAAAACACGCCCCCTCATTATCATATGCATGACGAAATACAGAAATAAATAAATGAATTAATGAAAAAAAGAAATAAATGAATTGATAAAAAAATAATAAAAATAAATGAATTAATGAATAAAGAGAACAATTCTTTAAAAATATAGATACGGAAAAAAATATAAAAATGACATTAATAAAACAATAATTGATTAATGAAAAAAATAATGTATTTATTTATTTATTTATTAATTAATACATGAATCAGTGAATAAAGAGAACAATTGTTAAAAACATAGATATGGAAAAAATATATAAAAATTGCATTAGTATAACAAAATAAATAATACAGAAGTAAATAAATTGAGAAATATATAACTGCAGATAACTTACAATCACAATAATAAGCAATATATACTTTATTTAGTTTTTTTTATTTATTGATTAATTTACTGAGCCATTTATTTTTTAATTTTATTTATTTTTCAATTTGGCGAATCTGGTCCAGCGAGCCGCGCTGGGTGCAGTGACTCGGTGAAGCGCAGGGGGGCAGCAGAGAGGCGCCGCTCCGCACTCGACATCATACCCCGTCGAGGGAGCGCGGCGTTAGCGGTTAGCCGTTAGCAGTCATGGCCGGAGTGGTGAAGAAGGTAGGTCGGTCGGGTCTGGAGGTCACGGAGCTTTAACGGGTTATAATATCGCTCAGATACGGATCTCAGCTCTCAGGCAGAGCTGCTGGTTCACCTCCTCCCCCTGTACAGGCTCTAGATTCGGCCACAGGGCGCAGGAGCTGCGGGAATGGAGGTGAACGGTTAGCATAGTTAACGACCAACGACCAAAACAACACAAACCAGCCGAGCTGAGCAGAGAATTCAGCCTAAATCTGATTCAGAGCGGATTAATCCGGACAAACTCACCGATACGCTGTTTAATGTTATGATATATTGATTTGCACGCGCTTAGGAAAGATGGTTCTTCAAGCGTTCTTTAGTAAAGGCGATTATGGTTCTATTCAGGAACATCAACTGTTTATAAAAACATTTGCAGGCTTAGATTAAATAGTTCCTTACGGAGCCCCGCTGGTGACATCCTGTATAAATAAAAATAATGCGTGGCCACGACTTAGTAAAGCATGGGAATGAGATCCTAATGCGTGGCCACGACTTAGTAAGGCGTGGGAATGAGATGATTAGGTTGTGGCCACGACTTAGTAAGGCGTGGGAATGAGATGATTAGGTCGTGGCCATGACTTAGTAAAGCATGGGAATGAGATCCTAATGTGTGGCCACGACTTAGTCAGGCGTGGGAATGAGATGATTAGGTCGTGGCCATGACTTAGTACATTAGGATCTCGTTCCCAGGCTTTACTAAGTCGTGGCCACACATTAGGATCTCGTTCCCACGTGTTAATAAGTCGTGGCCACACATTATTTTTATTTACACAGGATGTCGTCATCAGGGCTCCGTATTCAATTGATGGAGAAAGTGCTGTATTTTGTTCTATGTTCCACCAAAAAAGGGTTCTGCTGTTTTTTTGACGTCAGCCGTGTAAGTTAACAGTAGAAGAACCCATTTTGGTGCTACGTGGGACCATTTTCAGAAAGGTTCTTTGTAGAATGGGTTGTATATGAGTTATAGAATCTTTGTTGGATGTGTTGTATATGCATATGTCCTATAAAGACCTTCTGGTACTATATAGAACCAGTTTCAAAAAGGTTCTTTACAGAACCATATATAACACATTCTCCATCTGTCTGAAACCATCTAAAGAACCATTTAAGATTATAGTTCTATTTAGAAACATGAGCTCTTTATAGAACCATTTGCAGGCTTAAATAGTTCCTTGCATGGTGAAACGGCTCTTCAATTGATGGAGAACGTGCTGTATATTGTTCTATACACCCCCAAAAAGGGTTCTGCTGTTTTTGTATGATGTCAAGCTTGTAAGTTAACAGTAGAAGAACCCATTTTGGTGCTACATAGGACCATTTTCAGAAAGGTTCTTTGTAGAATGTGTTGTATATGCATATGTCCTATAAAGACCTTTTGGTGCTATATAGAACCACTTTTTAAAAAGGTTCTTTACAGAACCATATACATAACACATTCTCCATCTGTCTGAAGCCATGCAAAGAACCATTTAAGCATGTAAATGGTTCTTTGAGTGTTCATGGTTCTATATAGAACCACTGTCATTGCTAAACTCTTTGAAGAACCATCTTTTGTGTATAACATGTTCCTGCTGAAAAAAACAGTGTCTGCTGGTTTCTGATGGTGTCCAGTAGTCAGTTATGGTATTCTGTGTTGTCCTGATGGGTTGATATCACAGTGTGCAGGACTCTGATGGTTCTGATTCCAGAGGCATTTGATATTTTCCTAATGGGATCTAAAAGTGTCGTACAGGAAAGTGGTGGACTCACAGGAAACATTAAGCCAATTCCCATTAGAAAGCAAAACTATCAGGTTTTAATCCTAATGGTCCTAATCCTTAATCCTAATCCTAACAGGGTGTTACACCTACATAATCTAAAATGGTGAAGACTAACTTACATGTGAAAAGAAACGTTTAGGTTTCATGCAGGTCAGTTAGGTCAGTTTAACTCATTATATAGCATGAGAGGAATACAGAGAGCACTCATCTCTGTAGGGGTTGCTTAAAGGGGAATACCACCAATTTTTCAAGTTTCCTTTGTAACTCTGTGTGTGAGATGTAAACAGAGTGGTTCAGAGTGGTTTGGTGTGAAATGGTTCAGATGTCTTTACAGTGGTGGTGATAGGAACCAGGGGTTGCCATGACTACAACACAAATATAGACATTTTATTTACTATCCAGAACCACCAGTGAACCTACACGAGTCTTCTGAGCTTATATGGAATGTTGATGATGGAAAATAGAGGAAAATCTGAAATAATAAGTTTTCTTTGGGGACTATTTGACCTCAACATGTATCCCTCCACCATGAATGGAGTTTAAGTTCTCAAAACTATCATAAAACAGTGTCTCAGTCATCAGGCAGTGAATTCATAACCATTTCATGTAGGAACTTTCTGTGAGGGAGCTTTTAGAGGTGGACGTCTGGTTCCTATCACCACCACTGTGAACAGTTCTTACTCGGTAAGTTTATCTAGAACGAAGCGTTTCACACCAAACCACTCTGAACGACTCTGTTTACATCTGAACCATTTAATTATGAAGAACTTTTGAAAGATGGGTGGAATTGCCCTTCACTTGGCCTAAAGCATTAATTGTTTATTCCTTTCAGACCACGGGATTGGTGGGACTCGCTGTTTCACAAAACCCGCATCAGGTAAATGCAAAAAACAGTCTCAGTCTCTTAAGTCTGCAGTAAATGTAAGTCTGCATGATTTCACTTAAGGGCAAGTGCAGTGCAAACAAACCGTTCAGCTTTCCTGTTGTTCTACCCCCAGCGTCTTAGGGTTCTGTACACCAAGATTTTGGGTTCCCTCCAGTCGATGCCCCAGGATGCTGCCTACAGGAAGTACACAGAGCAGCTGATCACTGAGAGATTCAACCACGTCAAAACAGTAAGAAAACATCCCCTTAGATTTGTATTTATTTCAAATGTCAGGTTTCTGATTGACCATGCTGTCAGTAGGGCTGGGCGATGTGGCCTCACCTGAATACGATCAATTCCATTATATACAACAGTTAGTTCCGGCCACGCAAGCTGATTGGTTGAAAAGTGTTCTAACTGTGCTGTTATTTCACCATAACATCACAGGTTTTTCACAAACACTGTATCACTCCGCTGAGACACTGTTGCTAAGCAACGACTCTGACAGCTGTAGGAGACGCTCAAGACATTTGAACATTTTCACTTCTTACTTTGCCACAAACAGAAAATGGACACTTTTAAGATTTGACCGACAGCCGATTTGGTCAGACTCTGAAGATGAGACGACACTAAATTCCCAAACTGTCATCACCACTGAGCAGCTTTTCAGTCGGCAGCTGAGACAGAAGAACAGCTGAACAACCTGGAATCAGCCAGAAATGAACCCAACACCATTCGCCAAACTAAATGGGCTGTAAGATGCTTTACAGACTGGCTGGAACAAAACAACATTAATACTGATCTGGCAAAAACTGACAAAACTGAGCTGAACTTGATATTGCGGCAGTTTTATGGCTCAGTCTGATTTGGTCAGACTCTGAAGATCAGACTACACGTTTGGCGAATGGTGTTGGGTTCATTTCTGAACAGTTTGGGAGTTTAGTGTAAGGAGCTGGAGAACGAACTGCCGGCTGTGCAGCGAGTGGGCGGAGCTCGTTACTCTGACGTAGCAACAAGCTGCTCGTTAAGGAACTATAATTTGGTGAAGGAACTGCGAACATTAAAACATATTAAACGCCGCGTTCACGGCCCAGTTTATTAATTTATTACTGTATTTATTTAACTGTTGTATAAAAGCAATAGAACACTCGAGGAGTGTGTTATCGCCAATAACATCATTGTTATTTCACGATAACACACTCCCTCTGTGTTCTATTGCTTAAATATAATCAAATTTATAGAACGGATAGTTCAGGTCCTAATATCTGATTGGCTGAGCTGCGTTCAAAGCCGTTGTAAAATCCACAATATACCACACCTATGACTCACAACCACTGAACTCTGTATCACGGCGCCACAGCACAAAAAAAACCTGTTAATGTTGATGGAATAATCTTTGACTCTAATGCTGCTCGCATGGAGCACCGAGTGTACTGATGAACTAAGAACCCATTTTTTGTTTAAACTGAGGGGCTGACAACTTATGTTCTTAACTAGAACCAGGCTGGTCAGCTAGCTAACAGGCTGAAAGAGAGCAAACATGCTAAACAGCTCCATCATTAATATCACAGGCTTGAATTAAAACACTTACAGTATGATTAACTGTAAAACTGCAACATAAAAGCCTAAAAAACATCACTTGAATATCTTACACACTTCAAATGTGTTTAGTTGGAAGTCGCGTCAAACCCAGGCTGAATCCCAAACGGCTCCGTACTCCCTAAATAGTGTTCTAGCTATGAAAGTTTTGAAGTTCTAGCCTCTACAGCCAAACAGTGCATCATGTATCGAGTGTGGATGAGTCTGAATCCCAAATGACTGTTTCTTACCTGTATTTTGCTCTGTTGGGCTGCAGGATCCAGTATTTAAACTCCTATGTAGTGCACTATGTAGGGAGCAGGGAGCTGTTTGAGATTCAGCCCCAGTGTGAGAAGAGAAGCCGCTGGATTGGTACTAAACAAGACTCGCGGTGGTGATTTGGTGACCAGAAGTGAAGGATTTTATATTAAACAGTGCTGCGATATCATATATTCATTGTTATATAATAAAAAATTAAAAAATGAATGAAATGATCGCAAAACACCCTGATGGGCGACCAAATGTTCTCCTTGTTCAGTGGTCCATGGTTGCTTGGCAACAACACTGTACTCCAAAAGAACTACATTTGTTGGCAGAATACTTGTTTATGTTGATCATTATTAATAATTACTTAAGTTATTTTCTGAAAAAGTGTGTAATTTCATTATATTTTATGTTGGACGCCGATTTATAAAAAGCAATAAGCCACTTGAGGCCTTGAGTTACTGTGATTTTATCACAGGAAAGGGAGTTTTACTCTGACGACACCCTTCCCTGTGACAAAATCCCAGTAATGCACAGCTATTTGTGGCTTATTGCTTTATTAGAATATTCGTTGATAGCAGTAGCCTTAATCCCCTGTTCAAATACATCACTGACCATCTCGGACTACAGGAACAAAATATCAGGAAGCCTCCTGTCACTCCTGAGCTAAATATGAATATATATTATATATTAATTATATGTAATTATATGCAGTGTAGGCACAGCTTAAGGTGTTTTAAATATAATACTAAATAAATAAATACCAAATACTTGAGTTTTCTGGTTATTTGATTATTCTGGTTATTTATGCCGGTATTGATTGCAGTGAAGTGTAATTGAAATTTTCCTGCTGTGTGATGTTCTGTAAAGGAGCCAGATGTAGAGAAGCTGGAGAAGAAAATCAACTGTGGCCAGATTGAGGAGGTCATCGCACAAGTGAGTAGAGAACGGACTGCCTGGTATACATGCTGCTTAGTTCATGTTTATGAAGAAACAGTTCATCATGTCATTAATATGGGTGATAAGCTCACGTTACACTTTTTAAAATGTCCCTCGATGATGTTCCACAGGCGGAGTCGGAGCTTTTCTTGTCCAGGAAGATGTCAGAATGGAAACCATGGGAGCCGCTGATTGAAGAGGCTCCTGCAAACCAGTGGAAATGGCCAATCTGAGAGCTCATATTGAGGCTTCATTCATAATAGACCATTTATTCAGTTCCATCAATGGGCTATGTTGTCGATGTAAGTTGTATTTATGTTTTAAAATGATGAATAAACCCAATGTTTATGATTGGCCTGAGAAGTGTTCTGATTAATCTGATCCACGAACGGGGGACTCTGGAGAAGCCACTGATCTTACTGACTTGTGAGTCGTACATTTCAGCCCGAGGGGAAAAACCACAAACAAGAGTGACTAGAGAGCCAACATTAATGCAGTAAATGAATAAAACCTTTCATGTCTAACCCTACAGGCGCACTGTAATATCTTATAAATATCTAATATCAGTAATAAGATATATAATAAGAAGTAAAAACATCTTAAAAGTAGTCAAAATACCTAATATTTCCCATTATGAGATTTTTGTGAGAGGTGTGTGTATGTGTATATATACATATATATATACATATATATATATATACACACACACACACACACACATATATATATATATATATATATATATATATATATATATATATATATATGATGTGTTGTTGGAAGAAAACCTTGTATCTCTAATATGATAGCTTTACAGGAGAAGGAAAAAACCTACTTTACTTTTAATGTAAGTCAATGGAACCAGACTTTTTTCCAAGTCATTTTGGGCCGTTTCTTTTGGTCCATTCATCATCAAGTTTGCACACAATGTAAAGGGTAACAGGCATTTTCAAATTATGTCAAAAATGGAGATACAAAGTTTTTCTTCTGACAGCAGCGATATGTGTGTGTGTGTGTGTATATATATGTGTGTGTGTGTGGTGGTGATAGGAACCAGGTGTTTGTGTGTATAGAAAAGAGAGCGTTTCACACATCTGAAACTCTTAATTATGCAGACTTTGAAAAATTGCTCTTTAAGCCTTTGATTATCTTTGAGGTCAATTTCACCCTGTTTACCATCTCTGAATAAATTATTTACTTATTCTAGTAATTCTATTTATCTTTCTTGGTCCATATTTAATGACTTTCCCTAAATAGTGGAGACGACTGGGTAACCATAAAATGAACATGATCAGACATTTTCAATGTCCTGTACACGTTCTGTATACATCAGTGTTCTTTAGGGTCCGTTTGACTCCAGGCTGTTCAAGCTGCGTAAAACAAGAAATATCAACAGTTTACACACGTTTGTTTTGGGGTGTTTTGGATGATCCTGAGGTCACTGTAACATGCAATTTTATAATCTTCAAAAAACCCTTCCCTCTGCTTTAGAGCCCTAACCTAACGACCACACCTTTAGTAGCGCGAGAACCTCTGATCACACCACATGAGGGAGAATCAGAAGCAGATTTATTGGCCAAGTATGTTGACACAAGGAACTTGGTTCCAGCTGTTGGTGTCTGACTATACACAGTATACAAGCAATAAGTAGACAATAATATACAGACAATGCACCATATACAATATACACAGCACACAAGCTGTAAATAGAAATTATCTAAGCCGCTTGCCCTTCTGGGGCGCTGGAGCCTATCCCAGCGGTCATTGGGCAGAAGGCAGGAAACACCCTGGATGGGTGTAAGTAGACAATCTAAGGATAATAATATACAATGTACATATTATTTACAGACAATATACAGTATACAAGCAATATGTAGACTAATATAGCTAATAATAAACAGACAATGTACATGTCATTACAGACAATACACAATATACAGTATACACAGTATAAATGGACTATATAAGGACAATAATATACAATGTACATATTATTTACAGACAATATACAGTATACAAGCAATGTGTGGACTACATATGGCTAATAATAAACAATGCACATATTATTTACAGACAATATACAGTATACAAGCAATATGTGGACTAACATAGCTAATAATAAACAGACAATGTACACATCATTACAGACAATACACAATATACAGTATACACAGTATACAAGCAATAAATAGACAGTATAAGAACAATAATATACAGACAATGTACATATTTACAGACAAACAACAGCATTGTATATCAGGTATGGAACAGAATTTCCACCGGATATTCTGTGGAGGTTTCACTCGATGAAAGATGACAGGGTGATGATGATGATGAAGCTTCATCACTTTGACTGAAAGCTCTGTGAAAGCGCTCTCCAGAGGCCGCACACTGGAACCATTCGCGCTGCACTTGTATTCGCACGGAATTGTTTGCCAGTCTGCCCGATGTGTGCAACACGGCATTATGTCCTCTAGTCCGCGGCCCCGCAGTTAGCGCGCTGCTCTTCTTAAGATCTTGTTTTCCTGTGAAGATCAAAGCGCCGCTCGCCTCTAGTTCATCTCGGATTATTCAGACCTGCGGGATTCATTACGGAGCGGGACGCAGCCGGCTCGGACAATGCTAAGCTAAGCTAGGCTAGGCTAGGCTAGTCCGGCTTCGCTTCAGCGGCTCCGCGACTGGAACGCAACATCATCATCATCATTCTCCTCCTCCTCCTCAGTTCAGCGGCATCTTCATCACCTTCATCCAGACTCGCCGCGCAACGCCGGGTTAGACTTTTACACACCACGCACAGAGAGCTCTCCGCCTGCTGACGGCCATTAGCCTCGCAGCTAACAGCGGCTAACAGCGGCTCGGCTTCCTTAGAGCTCAGAGAAACACAGCGCTCCTCTCTGCCCTCATTACCGCGACCAGAGCTCGAACCGAACAGAGACCGACCAGAGTCCGAACCGAACAGAGACCAACCACTGTTTACTATACTGAGGCCACTAGTTACTATATTAAGGCAATGACTTCTTATTTTGAGGCCACAATTTACTATATTGAGGCCATGAGTTACTATACTGATGCCACTAGTTACTATATTAAGGCCATGACTTACTATTTTGAGACCTCAATTTACTATATTGAGGCCATGAGTTACTATACTGATGCCACTAGTTACTATATTAAGGCCATGACTTACTATTTTGAGGCCACAAATTACAATATTGAGGCCACTAGTTACTATACTGATGCCACTAGTTACTATATTAAGGCCATGACTTACTGTTTTGAGGCCACAATTTACTATATTTAGGTCACAAATTACAATATCGAGGCCACAAGTTACTATACTGTTACCACAGTTTACTATGTTGAGGCCACTAGTTACTATGTTAAGGACACAATGTACTATACTGAGTGCAAGAATTACTATTTTAGTTGCTTCTGATTGATCTTGCTCATCTGCACACTTAAAAAGATGGTTCTTTAGATGGTTCTTTGTATCATGAAAGGGTTCTTTAGATTGATGGAAAATGTGCATGAATAAGCTATATAGAACCCTTTATGAAAAGGGTTCTATATAGCACGCAAAAGCGTTCTTCAATTGGTAGAAGCTTTACACTGTTACAACAGAAGAACCCTTTTGGATGCCGTATAGAACTCTTTTTAAAGAGGTTCTATATAGAACCATCAACAGCACACTTTCCATAAATCTGACCGATTTCATGATGCAAAAAAAAAAAAAACTGAATCATGCAGAGAGTTCTTGGAGTGTTCATGGTTCTATATAGAACCGTTTTCTTTACTACCGAACCCTTGAAGAACCATCCTGTTAAGTGTGTAGATGAGTTAGACCAATCAGAAGCAAATAAACACCCATGTGCTGTGACATCACGTCTCTTAATTTATAGAAAAGAATCACAGTTTAATCACAGTTCCAGTCTTAGTCATCAATTACAATTTTCTTTCGGGATCAATGAAGTTCTATCTGTCCATCTATATAAGAATTGCAATTAGACATGTTCCCAAAATCACTGAGCCCCACATGGTGACCCCTGGTTCCTATCACCACCACTGTAAAGCAAGTCTCTATAGTTAAGAATTTCACACCAAACCACTCTAAATGACCACTGAATTATGTCGAAATTTAGAAAAATTGGTGGAATTCCTCTTTCAGCCTGACTGGGAATATTTATTTTCCTTAAACTGGCTTTCTTGATCCTGAATTTGTTAAACTTGCTTCGATCTTGGATTGCTCTGATATTGATACGAGCTCATGGAGTCTGTTTCTCTTTTGCAGGTAATCAGCCTTGAGCACCAGCAGGATGAAGACCTTCTCAATCTCACACAAGACGGCGTTCGTGGTCGATCACTGTCCCTACATGGCCGAGTCCAGCAGGCAGCAGATTGAATGTGACATGCTGACCAAGAGTCGAGGTCAGGGCGTGATCCCTTTAGCTCCCGTCTCCAAATCTCTCTGGACGTGCGCTGTGGAGTGCTCCATGGAGTATTTGCGTATTCTCTATGACATCTACCCTGCAAGGAAACTCGTAAGATACATTAGACAATGTGATTTTTCAGGGTAACTGGATGATTAACCTGTTCAGTGTGTTACGAACAGTGATTTATTCAGCTCGTACTGTTTTACAGGTGAATTACATTGTTAGCGATTCAGAATTCCACATCCTGAATAGTTGGAGACAGGAGGACCAGAACATTCAAGAGGTAAATTCTGCTCTCCGTCTGTTGGCGATACTCTGTGTTATACACTGATCAGGCGTAACGTTATGACCACCTCCTTGTTTCTACGCTCATTGTCCATTTTATCAGCTCCACTTACTATATAGGTGCACTTTGTAGTTCTACAGTTACAGACTGTAGTCCATCTGTTTCTCTGATACTTTGTTAGCCCCCTTTTACCCTGTTCTTCAGTGGTCAGGACCCCCATGGACCCTCACAGAGCAGGTACTATTTGGGTGGTGGATCATTCTCAGCACTGCTGTAACACTGACGTGGTGGTGGTGTGTTAATGTGTGTTGTGCTGGTCTGAGTGGATCGGACACAGCAGTGCTGCTGGAGTTTTTAAACACCTCAGTGTCGCTGCTGGACTGAGAATAGTCCACCAACCAAAAATATCCAGCGTCCTGTGACCACTGATGAAGGACTAGAGGATGACCAACACAAACTGTGCAGCAGCAGATGAGCTATCGTCTCTGATTTTACATCTACAAGGTGGACTGACAAGGTAGGAGTGTCTAATAGAGTGGACAGTGAGTGGACACAGTGTTTTAAAACTCCAGCAGCATTGCTGTGTCTGATCCACTCGCACCAGCACAACACACATTAACACACCACCACCACGTCAGTGTTACTGCAGTGCACCACCCAAATAGTACCTGCTCTTTGAGGGTCCATGGGGGTCCTGACCACTGAAGAACAGGGTAAAAGGGGGCTAACAAAGTATCAGAGAAACAGATGGACTACAGTCTGTAACTGTAGAACTACAGAGTGAAACTATGTGGTCAGTGGAGCTGATAAAATGGACAGTGGACCATTTTATGGTTAAAAAGAAAAAACAGCCCCCTTGCAGTACCACCACAGTCCACTGGGGGCCACAGCTCACAGGTTAAAAACCACTGATGCAGCAGATGCATTAACTAATAATCTTGTCTTTAACAGCTGATGGGAGCGCTGGCAGCTGTAGGGCCTCCCAACCCGCGTGAGGATCCAGAATGCTGCAGCATCTTGCACGGACTGGTGGCAGCAGTGGAGTCGCTCTGCAAGATTACAGAATACCAGCACGAGTCACGGACCACTCTGATGGACATGGCTGACCGAGTGGCCAACAGGGGGCGCATCATCTGTCTCACTAATGCAAAAAGGTAACGGACCCAGAGATCCTTTAGGGGTTTTGGACAATTTCAAGACTTTACACAACAGTAATTTTAAACAACTTTAAACTATGACAAACAAACTCCTGTTCTGCTCACAAACACGTGTGGTGTGGATTGAAAGTCTAGAATCTACACTTTCAATAGATTTTCTCTGCTATGATTGAGAAATAGTTAAACAGTATTTTAAAGGTTTATCTTTCCAGTTATAATGTTGAAGTTTTATGTACCAAAATCAGTCATGTTTAATTTTTATGTGACCATTTTCCTACTTCTCTTCATTCTCAGGCTGTTTTGGTTACCATGCCTTTAAAGTGATGTATGTAAATGACCCCTGTTCTGATTGGGTGCCCTGTATTGTGCCTTATTTAATAAGTACTCTGGGTTGAAACACTCTTACAGCTTCAGTGTGAATGGGCAGAGCTGAACTGCTGTAGGGGAAAAGTGGTTTAAATGAAAATGTAGTGATATCAGTGACATCAAAACAGGATGTTTTTGCAGCTTAGTTTCCGTATATTTAAATGCCTGAAAATTTAAGGTATTTGATTTTTAAACAAGTGAGGAAATACAGTTACAGTTAAATACATGAAATTAGTCCTTTAATATCAAATTAAAGCATGCCTTTGTTACTTCTCCTCCAATAACTGTGACTTCTGATGGTTAGTTTTAATTTTATAACGCAACCCCACCTGTAGGCTTTGTTTTTGTCGTGTACATAAAGCCATTCTCAGTGAAAATGCACTGTATGTGTATTGAGAGATGTGCCTGATTGTACACTGTAGATGGAATTGTTGTGTTACAGAGGTAATATTTTTGTTGACAAATTTTTCTGTACATTTCTAAGATGCTGAAATTGGCTTTCTTTGCAAAGTCCTAGGAAAATATCTGAGCACTTCAGCTGAATCTGTTTGTCCCCCTCAGTGACACACACGTGCGGATGCTGGAGGACTGTGTGCTGGAAACCATTCAGGAGCAGAACAAGCTGGCTGCTGGATCTGACAGGTGGGTCATTTTTGCATGGAATTTCTAGTGAGGAGGTCTGCTTAATAATGTCCTCTGGGTTTGTCCGACACTAGACCACACTCCTAAATGAGGCAGGTGACTGGGTTTCTATGATGCATCATTTTGTATATACAGGCAAATGCAGTGTTTACAGAACACAGAACAGAAATATTTTAACATTGCTAACATTAACATTGAGTCCAGTTATAGGACTTTCTAACAGTGCCTCATGTACATTCATGATGTCAGCAAGCATGTGCTTTATTCAGCCAATGAGCTGATCAGCTCACGAACCAGTCAGCGCTCAGTAGTAGTAACGCCAACCAATCAGCGCTCAGTAGCAGTAATGCTGACCAATCGGCGCTCAGTAGCAGTAATGCTGGCCAATCGGCGCTCAGTAGCAGTAATACCGACCAATCAGTACTCAGTAGCAGTAATATTAACCAATTAGCACTCAATAGCAGTAATGTTGACCATTTTTGCTGTAGAAAAACAGGTTTTTATATATATATTTTTAAAAAGTAATATATATTTTAATGTAATACTTATACTTTTCAAAAATCTTATATTGTTCAGTGATTCAGATGTAAATAAAAAAAAAATGTACCTTTTCATCAGTAGGTTTACAAAAATATGTTTTAGGCCAAAACCTTTCTCAAAGCTATCGTCAAACGATGTCTCAGGCATCAGTTAATGCATTCACAGCTATTTTGTGTAACTCTCTTAAAGGTAGATATTAAAGGCATAAAATGCTTCTGACGTCTGGTTCCCATTACTAGCACTGTGAACAGTTCTGATTCTCTAAACCTCAGAATGCCTCTGTTTACATCTTTACCATTTTTAATTTCTGGAGTGTTCCTGTAACTTTTTAGGCTTTAGCTCCATTCACTGAGCGCCCTCTAGTGTTACGCAGACATGTTTTAGGTTTTAGTTGCAGTCCGTTTCCATTTGCATATCCGTAACTGCCATGTGCTGCCCTTCATACAGGATTAGTGATGTTAACATTTGTGTGGGATAATCGAACATGTGAAAAAATGAAAGATCTCTATAGGATGATCTTTACTTTGTGCAGACTTATGCCCATCCAGCAGTGTGAGCTGGTGCTCGTCCATATTTACCCACAAGGAGACGACACGCTGGTATCAGACCGGCCGAAGAAGGAGGTGAGTTTAACAAATGAGATGAGATCTAAGGCTACATTCACACAGCAGGTAAAAGTGGCCCAAATCTGATCTCTTTCTTCATATCAGTGTGATCAACAAAAACACATTGGCTCTGTTCACATTACCAGGCTGAAGTGGCACAAATCTGATCTTTTGCCCTAATGTGACTCAGATCTGATGTATTCAGAGCTGTGTGGACACAAATCTGATCTTTTCAAATCCGAACTGAACTGCTTTCATATTAGGTCCTAGATTGGATACGTATCCGATTCATAGCCATATGACCTTAATGTGACGCTTGGATTGGGAATGCTTTTTTCCACTGCGCTGCACCATCATTCAGCGTTACCATGGCAACAGCGCCGAACAGAAGTTAAAGCCTGTAAACGGTGGAAAAGCAGCTCATCTCACCTTTTTCTCCTTCGTCTCGCTCTAATAATGAAGCTGAGAGCTGATCAGAGTTAATTATCTTCTCAGCGAAGCTCGTTCTGCTCGTTAGTTTGTGCTGATGATGAACGTGATTCATCCACATGACGTTACTGAGTAGGATGAGCTCATGAGGGTCATTTCAGGACGCCGGTTCGTCACATTAATGACAGATTTGAGTCACTTACCTAAACGAGTGTGAACCATCCTGTCAGAAAGATCAGATCTGAGCAAAAAATCGAATTTGAGTAACGAGGCTTGTAATGTCAATGTAGCCATTGAATCTGACATTTTCAGTTCCGATTTGAGACCCTTTCTTATGCGATACTAAAATCCGATCCGTATCCATTATGCGGCAGTGTGTTTCAGTCTGAACTGCCAGACTGGAAATCAAGCGACTTTTACGTCAGTCCAACTCGGCATTTATCATAATTTCACGCTGCTGAGACTCATAAACATTTAAGCTGCTGTTTCTGTACAAACAAAATTAGAAGACGTTTATCTAAACTGTTCTGTGTTCGAACGCGGCCGTAGGAGAACGAGGCTGCAGCGTCAGAGAAAAGTTAAGTTTGAAAGCAAAGCTTAAAGAAACCAAGAACGTGAACCAAAGAAGTGGCTGTGGCTGAATAACGTGCCCTTTTTACTGCAAGCTCAGACATGGAACTTATTAGCTCCTGTGATGCTGGAGAAGGTGAAGCTGAAACCTCCTGGAGCGGCTGTTACTGTTGACTCCATTTGGATTGTTTACCTCTGGATGAGCCACGTAAAGCGTCGTTCTTTTGCGCATGTGGGTCAGTTTAGGAGCTGATCTGTTCAGACGGATGTTGCATACAGATCACATTTAAAAGATAAAATGAACAGCCAAAGAAAAAAAACAGGATTTGGTGAGAAAATAAGATTTGGGCCACTTTTACCTGCTGTGTGAACGTAGCCTAAGTCTTGTTGATGCTTGGATCTGTGTTTAAACTCTTCATTATGGTTTGATGTACACTATATGTCCAAAAGTTTATGGACACCCTTCTTATAAGTGAATTCAGCTGTATTAAGGTGCGTTCACTGCAGACGCAGGAGTTCAAATGCACACACGGCTTGTATAATCTCCATAGAAGAGCGTTGACAATACAATGGAATGCTCTGGTGCAGCCACTCATAAGCCTAAGGTCACCATGCCCAGCACCAAGCATGGGCTAGAGGAGTATAAAGCCCCACGAGCATTGGGCTGTGGAGCAGTGGAACTGTGTTCTCTGGAGTGATGCAGCTCCATCCAGTACCTTTGGGATGAGTTAGTGATCTAGAACTGACTGTCCAACATCAGCACCTGACCTTACTAATGCTCAATCAAATGTTCACAGCAATGTTCCAACATCTAGAAGCTTTTCCAGGAGAGCAGAGACAGTTACTGCAGCAGAGGGGAACAAACTCCTGTTTAATACTCCTGATTTTGGAAGAAACATTGGGTGAGCAGGTGTCCACAAACTTTTGGTTGGACATATAGTGTGTGATTTTCCTACATCAGAGGTCTTTAATTAAAACTCAATAAGGTCCAGTTAGAGAAAATTTCCTCAAGCAAAGGTCCGAAACATCATAATGTCAAACTTGTATTATGATTCAGTGCCATATACTGTTTACTGAAGTAGCCTAGTAGGTATATCAACATCTTATACAGTCAACAACTGAATGTCAAACCAAATAAAGTACAATTCAGTCATATTTCAACATTTATGTCAGTTTTCTCTTTTTAGATCACATGTGAAATAACCTCCCTCTGACTCACTTTCTTCTCCGACTGCTGTTCCTCGCCTCGTCCCTCCCCTGTGTGAGCGTCACTCACTCGAGTCTCAGTGCTCATCGTAATACACAGATCTGATTGGCTGAGTAGCATCAAGTGATTTTTACAACGCGATTGGTCTGTGAGTTTCCTGGGCCGCTAAAGCTACCGTAAAGACTAGAAAAGCTACGCCGATTAAAATAGAACCACCCCATCCAAATTAGATAGTTCTCCATAGTTTATCGGTTACAGGTCCAGGTCCGCATAGGACAGAGTCTGGTTCCGGACTCGGACCGCGGTCTGCCTATTAGTGACCTCTGTCCTACATGTACAGCGCGAAGCTGATACTGCATGATGTTGCATGGCTTCAGGAATTTCTGAGGTTCATGTGCTGATTAGTCTTAAAGTCCCAGGTAACACAGCGTAACATACTAAAAATGTTTTGTGTGACACTGAAATTGAGTATTATATTAAATCCTACATTTTCTTTTATTTATTTTTTTCACCTGAGCTTCATAATATTTTTTATAGTGCTTGATTTTTTGGACCCAAACAGTTATTTTCTCTGTAGATGATAATTTTCCAGCCTCTCTTTATCCCTTAGAATTAAGCAGACTGTTTATGTTGCACTTGGTTTAAGACTGATTTACGTAAATGATTTAGGTTCTGTGGGACTTTAAGAACAGTAAAACACCACTTGTTGAATCATCTCCATGTCCTCATCTTTTCTATTTTCACGATCTCTGAATAAAACAACTTTTCTACCTTCTGATCTGTAACGTTTGTCTGTGTCAGATCTCGTCTGTTCTGAGCAGTGAGGTGCACAGCGTACGCGCTGGGAGACACCTGGCCTCCAAACTCAACGTGCTGGTGCAGCAGCACTTTGACCTGGCCTCCACCACCATCACCAACATCCCAATGAAGGTGAGGTCTCCCACACTTCTCCCAACTAAGATCAGTGCTTTCAGTTCATTTCCTCTTCCGATTTGTTTCCTCTGTCCTTGTTATCCTCCACTTTCTCCTCCCTGTCCTGCTCATCCGGATTGCATCCATGATGTGTTTATTTCGTTGTGTTTACTCCCTCAGTGTACTTTTCTGTTCTCGCTCACAAACTCATTCAGTTGTGCATAAGTCAGTATCTTGTCTAAGATCGAGCAGCTTATACAAACATTTATTTATGCCTAAGTGGAAAGACAGTAATGCAGCTCCTTCTGGACATTTTCATCTTATGGCTGGAAGTGATGTCACAGCCATGGCGATATTACAGCAGATAAGGAGTTTGCAAGTGTTCTCGGTAAACATGGACAGAAAATTCGGAGTTAAAATCTTCCGTTAACTGAATACAAAAGCTTTTTTGACAGAAAAATGTCATTTACATCAGGGGTGCACAACTCTGGTTCTGGCGGGGGGGGGGGTCCATCACAGTTTTGAGGTTTCCCTACTCAAACACACCCATTAAACCTGCCAATTAACAGATAAGTGTAAGCAGGTGTGGTTGAGCCGGACACCGGCCCTCCAGGACCGGAGCTGTGCACCGCTGATTTACATACACAGTTGATAACATTGTTCCATTACCTTGTATTATTTAAAGTTTTATTAGTAAAAAAATAAGATTAAACTGAAACAACTTGACTTTTCTAATTCTGACAGAATATTTGAATGTTCAAGATAATATTTTCTAGAATATTTGCTATATTTAAAATGTTTGTATGACTCAGAAATTGGGTGGTGTAGTAAACATTCAGCAATTTTGAATGGAATAAAAACAAGCTGGAGATTTTAGAGCAGCACCGTCACAGACTTGGTGCTCTCAGAAAACATGAACAGGATGTTTAGAGTCATCTCCAGTTAACTGTCAGTGTAATGAGCTGCGAAGACGCAGTGCCAAAGACCACTGCTCCACTCTTAAACATGGTTCTTTCAGGGTTCTTTAGTGAATATAGTCCATATAGGACCATGAACACTCAAAGAATCTTTTGCATGATTAAAGGGTTCTTTGCATCAAGAAAGCGTTCTTCAGAATGTGCTGTAGATGGCTCTGTTTAGAACCATTTTGAAAAGGGTTCTATATAGTAACCAAAACAGTTCTTCTGTTGTTACAAGCTTGACAACCCTTATGGGTGCTATATAGAACCCTTTTCAGAAAGAACCGTCTACGGCGCATTCTCCATCAATCTGAGGAACCGTTTAAATTATGGAAATGATTCATGATTGCATCATGAAAGGGTTCTTCAGAATGTGCTGTAGAAGCTTTTGTTTAGAACCTTTTTGAAAAGAGGTTTATATCACAAAATATCAAGCTTGTAACAATAGAAGAACCCTTTTGGGTGCTATGTGGAACCTTCTACAGCACATTCTCCATCAATTGGAAGAATGAAAAGAACCATTTGATTACGGAAAGGATTATTTGAGTGTTCGTGGTTCTATATGGAAACATTTTCTGTACTAAAGAACCCTTGAAGAACCATCTTTTTTTTTAAGATTTTACTACTACTACTACTACTAATAATAATAATAATAATAATAGTAATAATAGTAATAATAATTGTTAGTAATGATACGCTTTAAAAACCTTTTTAAAAAATTCAGAACTGATAACCAAATATGTGATGAGATGTAAAAACTCTTTTGACCGTGTTTAAAAATATTAATACTACAAAGGCTGATTCAGAATTCATATTTTGACAAATCTTATTGCCATAATTTACATACAGAGTTGCTAACATGCCTAAACGAGCACAGCCTCTAATTAAAGAGTAAATCCAGTTTAAATCCAGTCTCACTGTCAGCGCAGGGTGATCAAACACTAACCTTAGGAGTGAGTAATCACAAGCTCAGACGTCTAAACGACCTGACAAAAATATATGATATTAGTATTAACCTGCACAAATCTGTGGTCATCTGAGACTGCCGACCACACAGACCCCAACCTTTCCACCAGGTAGGTATGTTATAACATGCCCCCCCATAACCCCTCTCCTTTTCTTTAACACTTAGTTTGTCTCTGTTCTTTGATCCCTGATGACCTCATCCTTTCGTCAACCTGCATCTGTTACTGTTTTACTGTCGTGCTTCTGTCTTCATGTGTATTTTGCTGGATTTTCACATGGCTGCTGATTTCATGGTGTATTTTCTGTTTTGCTAGCCTACATTAAATGTCTGTGAGCAGGTCAGTACTCTAATATTTTCAGAGATAATTTCAGACCCCCAGGATGTGTGCCTTCCTCTGTCATCCAGCTCGCACTAATCGTCCCTCTAGATAAAAGACTGTAGACATGGTCTTAAACCAGAGGTTCTCAGTGCTGGTCCTGGAGTCCCCCTGTTCTACACTTAGTCTATCTAATCAGATAATTAACCCTCTATTGCATGAATTATTACTTAAACATGATAATGTTTTAACATGTTTTTGTTATTTAAAATTGCTTAAATAATGGAAATATTTGAAAAAACATCTATTTTTTTTTTTAAAGTGGGGTATTTGGTAAATTGTTGCCATATGGCATACCATAGCACCATAAAATCTAAAAAAATCACCATAAAATCTAATTTTTCTCTAAAAACATCTTTTTATTAAAAACAAGACCAAACAAATCCAACTTATACTTAGCAAAAACATGCGACCCAGTATTCACAAATATTGTAAATTAATACATTTTTCAGGTGGTATTTGGAATATATGGTAATAACAGCGTCATACTAAGAATTCGTGGTAATGTGATGTCATAAATTATTTGTCCTTTCAAAGTAAAAGACCCTTTTTCCACAATTAAATAGGAAAACAAAGATTTTATATTACTGCTTTTTATTAAAATTGGCAAAGTAATTGTTGCCATATGGCAACACCAACAGGGGTCAATAACAAATAAAAATGGATGTGCTTTTCAACATAGTGGCGCTCGCACCAAATCGGAAGCCTTTTATTTATTGAAACTCTCCGAAAATGTGGAAAAAAGACAGAAGAGGGAGAAGAAATGGATTGTTTAAGTACCAGTGATGATGAATTCATCATTTTCCTTTTAGGCGCTGCAACTAAACAACACACGCTGGGTTCACCCCATTCTAGAAAAAGGACAACAGCACAGGGAGCTCCGCCGCCTCACACAGGAGCTGAAGCTGTATAACAAGCGATTCCGAAGCTATTTCTTTATAACAGTGGGGGAGTTTCGAGGCTCTTTCTTTAACCCCCACGTTGCTGTAGTCGTCGTGCTGCTTGTCGTATAAGCTTTTGTGCTCCGCAACCAGCAAGAAGAGCTGTTCTGAAAAAATCAGCTTTACTTTACATGTAAATCAATGGAACCAGACTTTTTTCCCCCCAAGTCATTTTGGGCCGTTTCTTTTGGTCCATTCTTCATGAAATTTGCACACAATGTAAAGGACAACAGGTATTTTTAAATAATGGCAAAATGACAAAAATGGAGATGCGAGGTTTTCTTCTGACAGCAGCGACATGTTTGTTTGGGCTGCAGCTCTGATTGGTCAGTTTTTGTATTATCCATAAAGCGCAGAAAAATATATGCAGCGCTGCAGTCCTTCAGTTTATATACGTGTGTTTGTTTTCATTATATGCTTTTACTGGTAACTAAAATTAAAACTAATTTCTGGTTTAAAAACCTGTCGTTCAGCTCTACCCTGGACGGTGTTTAGATCAAGAAGAAATTTAAAGAAATTCTAGAATCAAAGAAACACAGTCTGTAGAGATTTTATTAAATATTATGCTGAAGATATACATGCAGTAGTCACTTTATTAGATACACCTACCTTTTATGTACTCATTGTCCACTTTATCAGCTCCACTGACCGTATAGTTTCACTTTGTAGTTCTACAGTTTCAGACTGTAGTCCATCTGTTTCTCTGATACTTTGTTAGCCCCCTTTTACCCTGTTCTTCAGTGGTCAGGACCCCCATGGACCCTCACAGAGCAGGTACTATTTGGGTGGTGGATCATTCTCAGCACTGCAGTAACACTGATGTGGTGGTGGTGTGTTAGTGTGTGTTGTGCTGGTGCGAGTGGATCAGACACAGCAGTGGAGTTTTTAAACACCTCAGTGTCACTGCTGGACCAGAAACATCCAGCCAACAGCGTCCTGTGGGCAGCGTCCTGTGGGCAGCGTCCTGTGGGCAGCGTCCTGTGACCACTGATGAAGGACTAGAGGACGACCAACACAAACTGTGCAGCAGCAGATGAGCTATCGTCTCTGACTTTACATCTACAAGGTGGACCGACAAGGTAGGAGTGTCTAATAGAGTGGACAGTGAGTGGACACAGTGTTTAAAAACTCCAGCAGCACTGCTGTGTCTGATCCACTCGCACCAGCACAACACACACTAACACACCACCACGTCAGTGTTACTGCAGTGCTGAGAATGACCCACCACCTAAATAGTACCTGCTCTGTGAGGGTCCTGTGGGGGTCCTGACCACTGAAGAACAAAGTATGCAGAGAAACAGATGGACTACAGTCTGTAACTGTAGAGCTACAGAGTGAAACTATACGGTCAGTGGAGCTGATAAAGTGGACAGTGGGTGTGGATACAGTGTAGGTGTATCTAATAAAGTGCTCAGTGTGTAAACGAGTTTGGGAAAGCGAGTCTACTGATTAGTGCGATGCTGGATGAAAAAGTAAGCACTTCCTCACTGCCTCCTCAACCTTCCCTCACGTAGCTGATCTTTTTCCCTAGAGTTGCTAGTGTCTTGCAGTGCTCTGGTTCTTTGTGCTGTGTGGACTTGTAGTCTGTTCCCTCTATCTCTCTCTATCTCATCCTCTCCCTCCTGTCTTTATTAAGCCTCAATGCCGGCCGGCCTTCATTAGACTGAACTACGTGAGCCACAAAGATTTCACCCCAGAGCTGAGAGCTGAATGAGAACAACCAACACTGAACTGTATGAGCACTTTTTCCCTGCAGATCGATAGTTTGAGGACTTTCTGGTGTCTCTAAGGATTTTACCTCCTCACTCCAGAGTGCTGTATGCTTTCTTACTCCTCAGAGTGACTGCATTTACCTTCTCTCCCTGCGTATGATGGAAAGATGCAGAAAAGATGCGAACCTCGCCTTAAGCCTTAAAGGGGAACTCCACCAATTTTTCAAAGTTTCTTCCTAATTAAATGGTTACAGTCTAAACAGAGTCATTCAGAGTGGTTTGGTGTGAAACGCTCTGTTCTAGATAAACTTACTGAGTCAGAACTGTTCACAGTGGTGGTGATAGGAACCAGACGTCCACCTCTAAAAGCTCCCTCACAGAAAGTTGTTACATGAAATGGTGATGAATTCACTGCCTGATACCCAAGACAGTGAGTGTGCTTACATGCACTCAATCTAATCATAATCGGATTTCTGCAGTTGTCTGATTGGTCAAATGGTCATTTAATCAGCATACTCGGATTTCTTAGATCGGAGTAAGGTCCAGAAATCTGATTAAAAAGAGCTGGATTTTAGCTCAGTAATCAGATTTCTCAGTGCAGGTAAACTCTTACTCTGATTTCTTTCGGATTTCTCTGAGCTTGCGTGAAAACAGATGGCGGTACTGGAAATAAGTGAGCAGCTTTGCCACGAGACGCAGCAAAACACTATTGGAGCGACACCAAAACCAAATACATGCTTGATGAAATTAAGGATTTACATATTCTTCATCTTCTACACGATCTATGTTCATATTTTCAGGTAAAGCGGCGCAATGTTTTTTAAAAAAAAAAAGCCATGGTATAAAGTTTAACATTACGTTTACATCACGTCTTCTTCTGTGAGGTTATTGGCTGGTTGTAAAGCAGAAATCTGGTCACTGTCTGACTCATGTAGACCCGGAGTTTCCCCTTTATCTGATTACTGAAGAGTATGTAAATGCATTTATCAGATTACTGACAATCAGATTTTCTGCAGTCATCAGATTCAAGATTCAAGAGTTTTATTGTCGTATGCACAGCAGAAACAGGCAGTTACACTGTGCAATGACATTCTTACTCTGCTATTCCTCCATTCACCAATATAATCTTAGAAAAATATATAAAGTATAAGAATATATTAAATACACTGAATTAGTATAAATACACTATTTACAAAAAAGTAAAAAAGTACAGTTATATGTGCAAAGTTGAAAGAAAAATTGAAGTTACAGGATTATTGAGTGCATGTAAAAACACTTGTTCTATGATAGTTTTGAGAGAAACATTTGGGCTGCAATGCATTTTTAAAAATCCATTAATGGTGGAGAGATACGTGTTTTATTTTTAGATTTACTATTATTTGACCATCAACATTACATATAAACATTCAGAAGACTCGTGTAGGTTCACTGGTGGTTCTGGATAGTAAATAAAATGTCTATATTTGTGTTGTAGTCATGGCGACCCCTGGTTCCTATCACCACCACTGTAAAGACATCTGAACCATTTCACACCAAACCACCCTGAATCTCTCTGATTATATCTGTGATTGAATTATGCATACATTTTGAAAAATTGGTGGAATTCCCCTTTAAACCAACAAACCCAAAATCACTGACCCATGGAAATGTCAAACACAGTGCTGGGGTGGGCAGTTTGTCGATATTTTATTGTTATTGTGATAAATTGTGTCCCAGTATGCTTTTCTGAGCATATCGTCGATGCCATCAGTACTTAAAGAACACTGACTACACGTTTCATTGCAAATTGAGTGTAATTTGACTGGATTTTGTAAGTGGTTTAGTGGATTTTGGTGTTTGTAAAACATTTAATAAAAATCATTGTGATTTTAAGCAGAGCACGTGAGTGAAGTGGAACCACAGACATTTCCGCTCCTCACTCAAAGCTCTTCCCTTCGCTCCAGCTCCATTTCCGGGTTCTTCGTTTTTTTGCTCTTCACTTAAACATCAGAGAAACCGCTCCGCTCCATGTTTCCTCCCTGTGATCCATTCTTAGTATCTTTATTTTATGTCTTGAATGTGTGGACTAGACAGTACACACTAGAGGTCTGTGCCAGGCTGTTTTTTCAGCTCCACTCCCGCCCACTCCCACAGAAAACCGGAATCATCTGTCAAGGCAAACTTACACCGATCAGGCATAACATTATGACCACCTCCTTGTTTCTACACTCATTGTCCATTTTATCAGCTCCACTTACTATATAGGTGCACTTTGTAGTTCTACAGTTACAGACTGTAGTCCATCTGTTTCTCTGATACTTTGTTAGCC